TCTGAAAAGGTTTTGACCCAATTCCCCGTACCGTGTTGAAATGCATAGCGAACAAACAGACAAACTTTCTTCTTTATATATATAGATATACAGCCAAATATAGAAAACCAAAATTTTCGAGTAGGGGAGGGGGGAGAATAATACTCCTCCACTCCATTTTTCCTCTCCATCCCTCCGCTGTCCAAACACCCCCGCTGAGTTATCGAGAAAACAATTTCACTTCAGACTTCTCCGATGAGACTCACTATAGCGGTCCAACGATGTGATTACTATGTATCCCAGAGATAAAAGTTTTATATTGAAAAGTAGCCCTTGACCAAGGACAGTGCGAAGATATAAAAGCAAGCTGCAAGTACCGCAGAAATCGGAGAACATAAAAATCCGAAAATCTTTCAACCATTTTTTGAAAACTGGGTGGGAACTTTGGGGGGGGGCGGGGGGGGGGGGGGGGGGGGGGNNNGGCACTCCCCCCCCCCCCCCCCCTCCTTCGGTCTCGCCGACCCCCTCTTGACCTTCCCCTGGACCCAAGGGTGTGCCATGCAAATTTTGGCTGCTTTAGCTCTTACAGGGACTGAATGCATAAAGAACAAACATACAAACATACAAACAAACTTTCTTCTTTATATATATAGATGAATGATATTTGTGAGCAATTAAGTAAAGATGTCACAAGTTCACGTCAATTCTTATTCATGAATATACTTTCTACAAACATAAAAGGAAAAGAAATAAATAAACAAGAAGCTTCATTTATGTATTTTCAATTGTTAATGGAAATCTTAATCGGAATGGAACATGAAGATGATGCAAAAACAAATATGATTAATCACTGTCGATTAGAATATATTGGAAATGAAATCGATTTAAAATATATCGATGAATTTGATAAGACTTATAGTCCAAATGAAGCCATATGGTGGTACACAAGACATTGCTTTTTATTTGAAATATTGAATAAAGCACTTCGAATTCAAGACATTGATGTCCTATTTAAATATCGTTTCTTCTTAACCGATCTTCATAATCAAATAAAACAATTACATTCAGAGTTTGTTCAATCATTTTCAACAAAAAATATCGATAATGAACAAAAAACAGTGACTGTGTATCGCGGCCAAGGCATAAATGTAGATGAGCTTGAAAACCTAAACAATAATCTTGGAGGGCTTTTATCATTCAACAACTTTTTATCCACAAGTACCAATCCAGAGGTAGCACTCATGTTCCTCCGAACTAGATCGGATCTTCAATCTGTTCTTTTCGAAATAACTGCTGACTATCGTCAAGACACAAAACCATTCTGTAGCATTAAAGAAATAAGCAACTATAATCAAGAAGAAGAAGTCCTTTTCTCTATCGGAACTATATTTCGAATTGAATCAGTTGATAATATCAACAACGGAGTCACGAAGATACGCTTGACATTGACGGCACAAGAGGATGAACAGCTGAAGCAATTAAGACAACATATTCGCATAGAACTCGGAGAAGAGTTAAACCTGAACGCCCTTGGTATACTCATGCTAAACATGGGAGAATATCAGTACGCTCAACAATATTTCACAACATCAATTCAAAACCACCAGCTTGCACACCCTGATATTTTACAAAACTATAATAATATTGGAGCAGTTCACGCTGAGAAAGGTGAATACGATAAAGCATTAGAGAATTATGAAAGGACACTTGAAATTCAAATCAAGTCTTTGCCATGCAGGCATCCATCATTGGCAAATACATATACTAATATTGGATTAGCTTTAAATAAAAAAGGTGAATACGATAAAGCATTAGAGAATTATGGAACGGCACTTCAAATTCAACTCAAGTCTTTGCCATCCAATCATCCATCATTAGCAACTACATATAATAATATTGGAGCAGTTCACGCTGATAAAGGTGAATACGATAAAGCATTAGAGAATTATGAAAGGACACTTGAAATTCAACTCAAGTCTTTGCCATCCAATCATCCATCATTAGCAACCATATATAATAATATTGGATTAGCTTTAGATGCAAAAGGTGAATACGATAAAGCATTAGAGAATTACGAAAGGTCACTTCAAATTCAACTCAAGTCTTTGCCATCCAATCATCCATCATTGGCAAATACATATACTAATATTGGATTAGCTTTAAATAAAAAAGGTGAATACGCTAAAGCATTAGAGAATTATGAAAGGTCACTTCAAATTCAACTCAAGTCTTTGCCATCCAATCGTCCATCATTAGCAACCATATATAATAATATTGGATTAGCTTTAAATAAAAAAGTGAATACGCTAAAGCATTAGAGAATTATGAAAGGTCACTTCAAATTCAACTCAAGTCTTTGCCATCGAATCGTCCATCATTAGCAACTACATATAATAATATTGGAGCAGTTCACGCTGAGAAAAGTGAATACGATAAAGCATTAGAGAATTATGGAACGGCATTTGAAATTCAACTCAAGTCTTTGCCATCCAATCATCCATCATTAGCAACTACATATAATAATATTGGAGCAGTTCACGCTGAGAAAGGTGAATACGATAAAGCATTAGAGAATTATGGAACGGCAACGTTTCCACATTAGAGTTCAAGTCGATAATAATAAAGAAAAGTGGTTTTATGTCGGAATATATTCTACGAATGTTTGGATAAATTTTGCATAATGTTTTATAAATGATTTTTTTGCTGGGAAAAGGAAATAACAATATTTCTTTATTGAATGTGGATATCTGTTTCTGGTCCTCAGGTTCTGGATCTGCATCATGATCTGGATCTCCACTATCATCTGGAAATAAAATCACGATTACGTTGTTCAATCTGTAGAATTATTTTTGTCAATGCGGTTGACTGTATCGAATATTTAAACTCTGTGAAAAATCATAAACTTTTCTTTATTGTATCTGGTCTTTATACAGATATTGATAAATTACTTTCGCAGTTGCTGAACTCATTACCAGTGGAGTTTATTTTCAAATTAAGCAGCAAAAAAATCATTTATAAAACATCATGCAAAATTTATCCAAACATTCGTAGAATATATTCTGACATACAACCACTTCCCATACATTTTGACTTGAATACATTTTTTTTTCATCATTTGGTTTATATACCGGTTTTATTTCTATTCATTGTCTTTGTCGAACTATCTGACATCATTGTTACAAAAGTAAAGGATACGGCAACAGAGAACTCAGTTGCTCTCTTGCAACTATGCTATAACCTTTATCATAACCTAGAGATTTTATCATACACACTGCGTTAATTATCTATAACACAGTAAGGCGTCTAGTAGCTAGTCATTACGTTAGCTATTCGTTGAATACATATAGAACATGGTCATAAAGTGAATCACACGATATGGAAACACTTTGCTTTAAAAAGGTCAGTATGACTTACGTCAGATTAATTATCCGTTTTTTTCTTGAAACGTAGTTTGTGTTGAAAAAACTACAAGTCTCAAACATACAAAACACCTTCTTTCGAACCTTCTGGTTAATGACTACACTGTAATGTCGGGAATTATTTATAGAAAATGCTCGGCGATTTTCAAAAAGTCCATATATAAATTCCCTGAGGATTTTCTAGATTCTAGAAAATCGAATTTACAAGAAACTTGGAAATTCGAAG